TTTATAAGCTAAGCGACAATTTTGGACGATAAACAATAAGTAATAACAATAAAAAAGATCATATCATACTATAAATATTTCAACAATAAAGTATTCGAAAACAGGAATTTTTGTGAGTGAACAATATGGGCAGTGTCACATATAAATTTCTTTAAATTTCAAAAACACCCCACCCCCAATTTAATTTCTGTGTACGCCACTGCATTGGAACCACGTCCATTAAACTTTAAAAATTCACTTTGCATTTGAGTACTTATAAATGAGTTACTATTGAGCTTCTTTTCAAAATAAGTTTAAAATTCAAAACAAACTTTCAATTTTTTCTCTAGGCACAATAAAATTAGTATATAATAGTTCATTAGATAACTGTTACCTTAATGATTTAACGCTTTTACCCTAAATATTATTTTTTCTGTCGTTGCGCACGTATTCTACGTGCCACTGATCGTTTTATCATTAAAAATGTGGAATGGATACGGTCAACGTCCTTGACTAAGATTGACATGAAATAAAAAAAAGTTGCGACACGCGTGATGATAATATTCCAGTAACTACCATGTCTGGTCATAAGGTTCAGCCATATTTAGATTCGCTCAATGTCGTTCCGGAAAAAAATTTACTGTCAGCTTGGCCATAGGTTTTTCGAAGTAATACCTTAAATTTGATTTTTTAATTGTTAAATTTTGAAACTTCTAGTCAATATATAGTAAGCTCTTAATTTAGCTTTATTTTTCATCAATAAGAATCAATGAAATTTGAAACAACTTGCGAAGTTTACAAACGAGCACAAATATTTTTTGGAATAATTAAGTATTCAAATGTTAACAAAATCTCTACGTTCATTTTAAATAGTGGTGCTAATCAAATTTCATTATTATTTTAAGATAAAATGAAATCAGTTGAAAAGTCGTATTAGAGTCAAAATCAGAGACATATTAAAGAGTTGTTTAAGAAATATATTGGGATTAAAAACGTATCCAGAGATTTTATACTAATAAAATTAAATGTTTGATTTTTCTTATATTTTTAGATATACCCTTGTTGGTCAAAATAAAAATAGTATTTTACATTTAATATTCATTCGACTTGTTAGTAATTAGAATTGATTATTTTTATTTTACTTGTAAGTTGGGTTTGATAATAGATTATTGTTGAATAATCACACGATGTGCTCTATTTGTTTGAATTTTACAGGTTTATTGGGAAAAGCAACTAGGGCGATATAAACTATGTTTTTTTTTGTGCAATATTAGCACAATATTTTTCGTCGGGTCGTGGCGATTGCATTACAAACTTCATTATTTACGGATGTTCACACTACTCGATAATAATGTCACAGTGTCGATCTTCCAAATCGTTTTGTTTTGTCACTTTCACCTCTTGGCGACTGTTATAAATCGAGCGTGGTTTGCCGTGGGCATACGACCGCGGCAAACTGCGCTGTACCGCTAGACGTTTGTGCGAGTGTCAATAGTGTTTATATAGGACAACTCGTGCCGCGGTGCGCTTGCGGTGAATGATATTTACGCATTGTGTTTTAAATGCTCTTTTGCATTATGTTTGTTTTATAGATACACGAACGTGACGATAACAAAAGTGTGTTTTCTGAAGGAATGGCTACTCGGCTGACTATAAAAATCTAGACATGGAGTCTAGAATAGGACTTGATTACATCGTCGAAAACCCCGAGTACACAGCAAAGTTAGCAATAGGTAAGGATATTTTTCGATTTTTTTTTTTTTTTTATTACACCAATTGATTTAAACGTGAAATATATTATCGAAGTTTGAAAAATTAAAATATCGTTGAATATCTTGTTTATTTTTTGTACATTCCAATTCTATGTACCAATTCCTAAGGATTATTATTGTCATTTTTTGTTGTTTTGATACTTTTTTCTTGATATTTTCCTTTATTCGGATATCCAATCGTGATTATAAGCATATAAAGTAAAATTTTATTTTTAAGTATAACATTTCTCATATTTTTAAATTAATCCGACATCAGGTTTAGTAATAAAAAATTTAATAAAATAAAATAATATTACATAGATAATTTAGTAACTTAGTTTTATGATAGCATAATATACTATCATATAATGGTTAAATAAATCATATTTAGAGATTATAAAGCACGCTAAAATTATATTCTAACTGTAATTACTAATTGCAGATATATTTAAAATAGTAGTATCAATCATTGGAAAATATGATGGATTCTTTTTATATTCGTCGATCTATTGTTGTATATCAGTATAATTAAAATGCAGTACAATCCTGAAAGTGATTTAAACCAAGATTATCAGTTTAATAAATATAATTCCATATAAAATTTATTTATTTTTTTGATCTTTAAGTATCTAACAATAATTAGTTCTCGTATATTTAATCAATTAGGTTTAAGTTTAAAATTATAGTTCATTATTTATCATCATTATTTAATCGGAAAAATTTAGAACTTTAATGTTAAACCTAAACCAACTAATTTAGTAAAAATACAAAATTATCAGTTATTAAATTATTTATAAGCAACTTCATTGTACTCAGGGTCACTATTTGAGAAAAATGTTTGGGAGGTGTTGTTTAATTTATCTTTGCCTTTAAAATTATTTTCATATAAAAATAAATATGATTTTTATAAATTTCAAGGGGCTAAACCCTCATTGCACTTCTTCTGTTTGCGGATATGATTGTTCTAACTCATAATTTAGTATCGTAAAATTGTTGTTAATTTTTTGAGCTGTGTATTTTATACTTTAAAATGTATATACATAGCAATATATAGTATAGTATAGTATATATATATGGCTTAAAATTACCAAGGTGCAGAATTGGCTTTAGTAGCAATTAAAAGTCTCAAATCTTGAGTTTATTGAAAAAATAAAATTAATAAAACACTATAACTAACTTGTTTTGATTGTAAATTAAACAATACTGTTGATAAATTAAGTAAATTATATTTAAATTATATCAAAATATATATCTTTATATATATATATATCTGTTCATAACTGCTTCAATTCGGCTTACTTTAAATATGAAGGAATTGTACATTATGTTATTTTATAAAGATATTAGGTAAAAATTAATTTTAATACAATATTCTCTAGGTATTATAACGGCTGCCTTTACTAGATTAAAAAAAAATAAATTTTAAAAGATAAGAGTTCCCCGAAGTACTGATGATAAATGTTTTTAATATTATTGATTTGGTCGAGTGAAATATGCTAACAACAAGTGATAAAATCAATAACTTTTTATTGTTTTCGTCAACCTTGAATAATCTTCTCTTTGTAATGCTCCAGTATGGATTGTCGTTACAGCCATGTAATTTAACAGAAATCGTTACATTTAAAATAACTAGCATTTCAGTTTAAGTGTACATTAGTTATTTCATTAAAATACATACCCGAAAGCATCATCGATGTGTATTCATACAAGTTAGAAGGAAATTTAATCGACGTTGCCCATATAAGCGTTGAATGTAAATGAAAAATAATTAGAATTAATGAATTACTAAACTGTTATTAATACAATGAGGTAATATTAGTCTCGTAAATTTAATTAATCATAAAGATAATTTATTATGTTCAAAATAATAATTATACCCATCAATCAAAAAAGTTCATAAATAAGACTAGGGTAATTTTTTTGGACCTCGATTTAAAAACATTATGTCTTAAGTTTTAGAAAATTATTTTCTTGAGTTTTTTAAGATTATAAAAACTCATTATTTTTTTTTTATTAATCTAACAAATATAATATTGAGTAACTGGCTGGCGTCAAACCGTGGGAGCATGTAGTGGTGCTATAAATCAATTTCGTATTAGAATATTGGGTAATTAAGTCAATATGTAACTTGTTTTAGGTATGTGTAATCTTAGATTGGTAGTATAGATCTACGCGTAGGTGTTAGATCGCTAAAATCAGATGATTGACGTATGTAAGTAGTAAAAACACGAGAGAAAATTCAATTGAAATAAAATTCAACTACCACCGTGTGTGATGTTATTAACAATAATACGTTCCTTGAAAATCTTTAATATAGATTTAAAAGACAAATATTGTGTTAAAATAATACCCATACATTTTTTTACTATACTATCTCTAAGTAAAGTGAGTAACGGGCGTTACTATCCCCTGAAATTGATAACTATTATAATTAATCATCAAACCTTTATTATAATGTATAGATTTCATAATTCACTTTATAGATTATAAAAATAGAAAGCTAATAGAATTATCAAAAAATAATTTACGTTATTTTTGTTAAATCGATCTCTTAAGTTTGACTATACATAAGAATATTTTTATAGTCGTCATTTACATCTTTGCTTTCTATTTATAGCCGTCACTATGAAAAGCGGATTAGAATATATTTCTGGATAATGGAGTGGATTTTAAAAGAAGGTACGGTGTATTTTTTCAAAATTTCTCAAATAGTTGATAGTTTGAATACAAACTGTCAATAAACTAAACACTATTTGACACCAGATATGTTGTATTGGAATTCTTAATTAAAAAAAAAAACTTTTACGTGATGTCGCTAGAATTTTACTCTAAAAATTTGGTCCTAGTGACATATCTCGATATATGCATTGTACATTTCCAAAAGCTTGGAAACCATTCTCCTGTACGCATACGTTTCTTATAAGTTGATGACATCACACGTCGTCTCGTATCTACTTGGCGAAAAAAACCAGTTCCAACGCCTACGCTATTTTTACTGTTAAAAAAATCTAAAACTTCGGCCGTGTACATAATACATTTTGTTGGCCATATTTTATTCAAGTTTTCGACGAATCCGTAAATCTTGTTAGATTTCATTAACATGACCGTAGTCGTCGTACTATTATCATACCAAGTGAGGTTACTTAAACATTACACATCACTAATACTATTTGTAAATAACTCGGTGCAACCGATGAGCCCACGCGCAAATATTATAATGTATATAAAAATAAGTGTCGAATACAATGTGTATTTATATATTTTGCATTGAGCCAGATGTCGGGTTTGTCACAGTTTCCTCGGATAAGCCGTTAATTAATTTTTTTTTATTTGTACTGCATCACACAATTAGTGCGCGTATATAGTAAAAAGTGATAGGCGTATTTGTTTGTATGTGTGTGGTTATTCCATTTAGGGAAATCCTTTTAACGCGCGCATGACCATTATTAAATTATAAATATAATTGAACATAATATTGAGCAATAATTAAGCGAAGTAGCAATAACAAGCATACAATAAAATCTCAATAAAATGTAATATTATTGAACGTGTATGCGGCGACAAAAAGAAAACATGAACGTTAACGTCATAATGTATTCAACTAGACTTAGGAATACATCATAGTAGTTAATTATATTTAAACTGTAATTTAATAGGTCGATTTTGTGTGTAATTTTTTATATTCCTAATAATATGTTTTATTGCATGTTTATCTGTTTACCTTTAGATTACTTAAAATCTATTAGATTTATTAATGTCAATTTTTTAACTACCTACTAAACCAACCAAACCCGTTACTAGAAACATTTAATTAAATTAAAATTATTATTATTATTGTTTTTAGAGTCACTGTGGACAAAATTTATGATATAATACAGTGCTTGGAAAACATAAAAATAAAAGAAACATGAATTTTATTTATAATTCAAACGGGTACTGAATTAACATTCCTAAAATACGTAGGAAGTATTAATAAATGTATAACAATAGAATACACGAAAAAAAGAATCTTGTATATTTTTTATTCAGTATCTATTCAGTATTTTATTTTCATATACGTTTAAATACGTAAAAATAAAAAATAATTATGGTAAACTATATAGGATATAAAGCTTCTTTTTAGTAACAATATTATTATTTATTGAAAAATTTAAAATTTAGCTACTATACAAGAATTTTCATTTTAATTTATCAAATATTAAAACATATGTCCAATAACTGTAATTAAAGAGAGAAAATAGAGCTTTGTTTTGTTATGTTATGTTAAAAAGTAATAAATTTCTTCGAGGAATTATTGAAGAAGGTTGGCATTTATTTTAAGTGTTTTAAAGTATACATTTGTTTGCAACTATGGACATGTAAGACTATATCCGAGGGAATATAGCTATTGTTATTACTGTTATAATAACAGCCCACGGGTGAAGTCAGCAAATAATACTTCCATGCTTAACATTTTATGTAAGTAAAAAATGGAATATTTAAAATCAGAACTCCTATTTGAAAGTATAATAACACATACTTGTAACATAATACAGCTAATTGCTTCATTTCTTTTGATTTTTAAATATATGAATATTAAGCATGCTTAACCATGTGGGTCCGATTACTAAGCATTGTTTTCCGTTCTGTGTTAACTTCTGATCATTTTTTGTAAAAAAACGTAGCTTCCAAAAGGTAAACGACTTAATTTTATTAAAGCTCATACGAAAATTAATTGACTAATGAACATTAGTTGGGGGTCTATTAAAAATATGTGACTATTCCTACTTAATATCACTAAATATAAATTAAAATCGTATTTTAACTGTTTATTGCTTTCTTTCCAGATCTATTTGTCTAAAATAGAGATATTAGGTGGGCGTATGTCCTTCATTATATGTGTCTTGGCCAAGGTTCAGGTTATTAGATTAAATGAGCTATAAAGTATATAATTGTATTAGATCAAAACATTGAATAATACATTTAAATAAATAAAATTGAAT